CCCCCCCCATCTTCACATAATAAGCTCCACCAGGCGGGGACACCGGCCTCCGACACCGACACCTCTAGCGGGGAGAGCACCCTCGAATCAGACACGGAGTCCAACGCGGATTTGGCGTCGCCCCCCACCGCGGAGTGCTCCTCCTCCTCCTGCTCTCCCTCCTCGTCCTCCTCGCCCTTTCCTGCTCCTTCCTGCACGGCAGCCGTCGCGGGACCGGCGTCGTTGGTAGTGGGCCCGCACCGAGACTCCCTCGGGGGCGGGGGGGCTCCGTCTTCGCTGACGGCTATGTCTCCCCCGCCGCCCCCGTCCCGAGCATCGCCGCCGCCGGCGGTGACGGCGGCGACGGCCGGTGGGGCCGGGGTCGGGGCTGGAACGATCGGGAGCAGTGCGCCTGGCGCCGCGGGCGGCGGCGGCGGCGGCGTGGCCGGCAAGCCCGTGGGACCGGTGAAGCGCAAGCGGAAGCCGCTGACGGAGGAGCAGAAGCACGCGCGGAAGATTAGAAGTAGAAAGCTGATGCTGGAGAAGCAGCTGCTGCGGGAACAGCAGCGGCAGCAGCAGCAGCAACAGCAGCCCACGGCCCCCCCGGGGGCAGGTGGGGCACATGCCGCTCCCACCGGGACCCCTCCGCTCCCCCCCAGCTTTGCGGCGAGCCGCGAGGGCTTGAACGCGGTGGGAGGGGGGAAAGGACGGAGCGGCGGTCTACCGGCGTGGAGGTTGGCATTAAAACGGCCGCTGGAAGAGCTCACCCCGAAGGAAAGGGCCTTGGAGAAGGTCTGCAGGTACCTGGATAAGTTCGGGGACATGTTCTCGCCGCAGGCGCAGATCAAGGCAGCGGCGGAAGCGCGAGACAAAGACAAGGTAGGGAGGGCCGCTTTTGTTGTGGGGCCTGGGAGAGGTTTATGGGGTGCGTGGTTTGCTGGTGGGTGCTCGCCAATCCGTGTGCTTTGTCAGCGATTTTTTTTTTTCTGTTCATGGCGGTCGCCTTATCTTGCGTTTTCGACCTTTTTTTGTTGGCGTTCTTCGTCCCAGGCGGCTATGCTCGGCGGGAGAGGCCACAACAACGCCCCATCTGCACCTGCGGCGGCCGCGGTGCTGGGACAGACCGGGCTGTGGGGGAGCCTGATGGGCGCGCCGGCAAAGGTTGAGGAGGAGACGGAGAGCACGGACGGCGAAGATGAGGTACGCAGCTGTCTATCTTGCTTTTGGCGTTCTTTTTCTTGAAGTATGGGTGGGAAGTAAGCTTGGCCCATTCATCTGGACCGATGCGCTTGAAGGAGAATCGTGTAACGCTTGTACAAAGACAAACGGGTTTTTGTTGTATCCTCGTATGAACCGACAAGATTTGAGGTTTCTGTAAGGGTGACCAGTACTGCTAATGTACTTGGCGCTTCTGGACGCTCGTTCATGGTCGCGGATGAAATGGTGTTTGGTGTCCGCTGTGGTGTGTCTTTCTCCAGAGGTGAGTTATCACTTTTTGTTTTCCGTCAACGCCGTCTATCTCTCTTTTCCTTGTC